TGCTTATACTCTCTCTACAACAAAATTAGAGATAAGGGCAAAATAGATTCTGCTGGGTATTGAGGGGGGGGAGGGGAGGGGGGGAGTGGGTGGTAAGGGAGGGGGTGGGGCAGGGGGAGAAATGAACCAAGCCTTGTATGCACATATGAATAATAAAAGAAAAATGAAAAAAAAAAAAAAAGAATTTACTTTTTTTTTTTTTTTTTGGGAGTACTGGGGTTTGAACTCAGGGCCTTGAGCTTGCTGGGCATGCCTGCCCACCAAAAAAAAAAAAAAAAACCTAGATGGTTCTTTCATTTCTGATTTTCAGTTTCTTAATGGGCTTGAACCACAAAAGCAATCAATTGCCAGAGAACCTCTCTAATAGTCCGCTCATTTTAAGGTCTTTGAGAAGTATTTAATTCATTGTATGTGTAAGCAAGAAAGGAGGGAACCACTTTATCAAGGTCTTAATTAATTAATTAATTAACGAATACTTTTGTTTTTGGCAGTGCTGGGGAACAGGCCTTGTACATGCTAGGCAACAGCTCTATTACTGAGCCACCGATGAGCTACGTCCTCAGCCACCATCAAGTATTTTTTATAACAAGAAAGAAAGTCATAAGAGATGGAACTGTTACCAACAGAAAAGATGAGATTAGCTAATGAGCCCAATTCTACCTTAATTTTTAAAAATTAATTGAGCCGTACAATTGAGAATCATACTCTAGGGCTCACAGAGAGGCTCGAGTGGTAGAGAGCAGCCTGCCTGGCAGGTGTGAGGCCCTGAGTTCAAACTCTAGTACCACCAAAAAAAAATACCCACCACAAACAATATAGTAATTATAAATCTCTTGCACTGGGGATTGTGGCTTTGTGGTAGGGCGTTGTTTAGTGTGTGTGAGATCCTGGGTTTGATCCTTAGCACAAAAAAAAAAAAGAAAAAGGTAAAAGATAACTTGGAAAAAAATGTCACTTTTTTGCAGTACTGGGGTTTGAACTCAGGGCCTACACCTTGAGCCACTCCACAGCCCTTTTTTGTGAAGGGTTTTTCAAGATAGGGTCTCTTCAACTGTTTCCCCAGGCTGACTTCGAACCTCTATCCTCCTGATCTCTGCCTCCTGAATAGCTAGGATTACAGGGGTGTGAGCCACCGGCACCTGGCTTCCTTATCACTTCGACGTTTCCTCAGCTTTGCTCATTGCTGAATCTCCATATATATACATCTAGCTTATAATTGGCTTACAATAAATACTTGTTAAATATATTAGTTTATTGTATCTCTATTCAGAGAAAATTAAACCAAGCAAATTGTAACTATATATTTATATATTCCCCATGTTTAAATTGAGGTGAAATTTTCATAAAGTGAAAATTAACTTATTATTATAATTATTTGTGTGTGTGTGTGTGTGTGTGTGTGTGTGTTGCTAGGCATCAAATCCTTGACCTTGCACATACTAAGCACAGGCTCTACCACAGACTTACCTACCTGGCCCAAAGTCTTTTTTTTGGTTGAAAGTCATTTTTTATTATATAATTTTTTTAGGCTATATTCATTATACAGGGGGGATGCATAGTGACAATTCCAATTAGGCTTATCTTGTACATTGGTGAGATCACCTCCATTTTCTTTCACCCTCAACCTTCTCCCCACTGCACTTAAAGCAATTGCAAGAGGTTTCTTTGTTTCATATTAGTTTCATATAAGTATGTGAAATCCGTGAACCATATATCTGTACCTTAATCTCCTTCATTCACCCTCCCCCTCCGCAAGTCCCCCCCCACACACTGTGCCTGTTTTACAGTCCTGTCTTTTGTTATTAATATTTAAGTCGATGTTCAGAGGGGTTTCTCTATGTATCCCATGCTGTGAGTGAGTATACTTTACTTTGGTCCATTCAACCCCTTTCATTATTCTCCCTTACTCCTTTGCCTCCCAACCACCCTCCCACTTTTTTCAACAGCTTTCAGTACACATCCTTATGTCCTCTGCTGTCACAGACGTTATGTTTTACGACATTACTGATGCTCTGTCATTCTCTTTTCCTTTCTCTCTTTCCCCAAGTTAGGAGAGCAGTTCCACCATTGCACACATGTTCTACATATGAGTTTGTATGTGATCATGCTTGTTTTTTGAAAGCCATTCTAAAGTGAACAGTTCAGTGGCCTTTATTGCATTTACCATGTTGGGCAAACATCACTCTATGTAGTTCTACAACAGCTTGTTAGCTGGGTGAGGGGTGCACACCTGGGACCCCAGACTCTGGAGGCTGGGACAGGCAAAACCCTGGAGCCCAGGTCTTCAAGACTAGCATATTGAACCCTTTCTCAAAAAAATAAAATAAAAAAATGAACAGTACCTGGAAAGTGCTTAGAACAGTTTTTGGGACTTAACAAACCATAATAAGTGTTAGCTATTATTATTATTATTGCATTAAAAACTTAATAAACTGACTGATTTCTTCTTTAATTTTTTGGAAGGAATCAAACCCAGGACCTTATGCATGCTAAGCAAAGTCTCTGCCACTGAGCTATATCTTCATCTCATCTGTCTGATTTTTTGGCCCATTCCAAGTCAGACTCTACCTTTCTTATCACTTCAGTTTTGTTTTGTTGAGACAGGATCTCACTATGTGGCCCAGGATTGCCTGGAACTCGTGATCATCCAGCCTCTGCCTCCCAAATGCTGGGATTACAGGCATGACAGGCAAGTACACTACCACTTGAGCTTCCCTGCTACCTTTTCGTATGACATCTGAGGTAGAAAATATAACTCAATTTCCCAACCTCAAAGTAAACAAAAGGAACGTGTTTTGCAAAC